ACACACACACACACACACACACACACACACACACACACACATACACACATACACACACTCACATACACACACATATACATTCTCTTGTCTATTGATGGGGAGCGCCACCTGTTGGAAACTAGGTCCAGCGTCCCATGAACATCGTGAATGAAGCACCAACCGGCACCCAACACACAAACACTCTTCGAGTTGTGTATAGCGAACATGACAAAACATACGTACAGCATAATCAATACCTTACCCTTCCCGAACCACTTAAACAAACGAACTACTGGATGCGCAACTGTGCCCTCATGGTAAGTCAATGTGTCAGTGGGGTTAGGGGGGGGGGGGAGAGGGATTGTGTGTGGTGTGCCCCCTAGTGTTGCCCTTGGACACGATTGTTACTCGGTGGGGCTGGGGGAACTAGATGGGAGGCACAGCTCCTGGCAAAGTGCTCAGTCTTTGTGTGCGCTGGGTCCCCTCACCAGCAACGTCACCCTTCACCCTGACAACCACTAATTAGGGAGGGTGGCAATATGCTTCCCCGTGGTTGTGACAGACAGCTATGGTTGCAAGGTTCCCTTGTATAGGCTTAGGAAAAGTAGGTAGGCAACACTGCCGATTATGGCGGCTTCTTCCCTGGGCTGGTAGCCAATTCTGAAGGCTACTAAGAAAAGGCTTAGGTATGGGCCCCCCACCCGGCGTTGGTGGAACAAGCAAGCGTTGTGGATCACTTAGAATTTGGAATGCCCTTAAAGAGCTAGAGGGGAATAAAATCTTGGTTGAGGATGACAAGTCTAGAAAGTTAAGCAGATACAGGCAGTATAGGGAACTAAAGATACAAAGTGGAGGAAAACAATGGAACTTGTAAGGAACAACGATCCAAAAAGTATGGAAAGGTAACCAAGAGGGTAGAGAAGGAGGGGGCGGGGAACAATCTTTCCGAAACAACTACAAGCAGTATGCTACAGTGACTAGGTATCATGGGGAGAGTATCTGAGTACTATTGTAGGACGTGAAAACACCCGATCCCATCCCGACCTCGATCTGTGAATTCGTTTTATGCCATATGTACTGATTTAGTGTGGGAGACATGGTTCAAGCCCGGACCTATCAATTTTTTGTGCAAAGACGTGATGCTCCCCACGGGGTAGGCTTGTAAGTATTGAAGGTTGCCCTGACAGTTAATGTTTGACTATGCATTATTTGTTGGCGTTGGGCCCGATTCCCAACACATGTTGCTCCCCACGAACATATTAGAGTGGTTTTTAGGGGAAAATAAAAAGGTTCAATTGAACCAATACCTCCAAAACTTTTTCTATCGAGGTTGATTCCCCCTCTACGCCAAAAAAATATGAATCGCTATGGCAATGTTTCCTTTTTGTTGGCAGTGCCACTAACCACTTTGGTCCGGTAACATTGTTTCAAATAACTCAACGTCGTGTCTTTGATTCTCACGTTTGCCTGGGTGGGAAAATGGTATTTGAAGGCCACTGTCTCTATCGTCTTATGAAAACTTAGTCCCTAACATCAACGAAAATCCACATTGTGTCTACCATCGATTGAAGTTTTCCACTTAATCTTGATCGTTAAACATTAACCTCTCATTTTTTTTATCAATTATGTTTAACCTCTATCGTCGTAGGTTGTAACAACGAATAAGATTCGTTAAACATCAAATTGAGCAACGTCATGAAGGCCTTCACGGAGGTGGAAGTCATACCAGTGCTTCGAGGAGTGTATTTGGCCAGAATGTAAGGAACGTGATTTTTTTTTTTTTTTTTTTTTTTTTTTTTTTTTTTTTTTTTTTTTTTTTTTTTTTTTTTGCTTGTTTTTTTTTTTTTTTTCCCCATGCCAGTAAGGCAGGGCAGTTTCAACGAGGAGCAGGTAACTGCCTCACTCACAACATACTAACATCAACACTGTGGCGTTTTGTAAAGGACCACGATAGCGTCATAAAGTTTTTTTTTGTTTTCTTAATTTATTTTCATACGGGAAGGCACTCACGGAGATGAAAGTGATACCAGTACTTTGAGGGATGTATCTGAGTAGTATGTGAGGAACGTGATTTCTGTTGTTTCTATTTTTTTTTCCTTTTTTTTCGTTTTTTTATTGTGCCCTACCAGTGAAGCAGGGCGGATTTCCAGTGGGGGAAAGTAACTGCCTCACTCACAACATACCAACATCAGCGTTGTGGCGTTTTGTATCGGACCTCGATCATGACATAAGGGAAGTTTTTTTTTTTTTTTTTTTTGATACGTCGAGGGACAGTCTCACCATCACCTCATATAATGTATCTGCTGGCTATAGCAAAAGTTTCTGTTTTTTTTCATTTTTTTTTTGTTTTGTTTTTTTCGAAGTAGTTGCCGTGAGTACCATAAAGGAAAATACGATGGACCCCTAACTCGGCAAAACTCGGTGCGCAGTGAAAATCAGGATCAACAAAAATAAGATCTGATGTAGTGGTGGTTTAAAGTTCGGGTGTCAATTTTAATAACTCAAAAACTTATTTTTAAATCATTATTACTTTAGAAAAATGTAAAAGTTTAAATTCGTTGGGTATTTTTTTGTGACTACTAGGTTACCATTATTGATGATACACTATTTACATCGTTGTTTATTATCAACATAAAAAACATATTCATGTAATATACTACCACCACATTCTACTGTCTTAACCCAAAAATAGCGTACGTACTTATGTTGTATTCAAGTTACCTCAGAAAACGGCTTATGATAAAACGTTTTTTTTTTTTCCAAATAAAGTCATTGGTCAAATATAATGTTCGTACATAATGTTCGAATGTTTGAAAGTTAAATTAAAAAAAATTCAGACTTCCTCCCCCCTAAAAAACAAAAATGTTGTACAAGATTGCAATGAGAACAACTTTTGTATGTGGGTCATGTAAAAGTTCACAATCAAATTTGAGGAAAAAAATAAAAACGAAAACGAAGGTATTTTTATGGTACAGACATTCTATTTGTTAATTTCTATAATAAAAAAAACAACCTATCTTGTATAGAATTGCATTACATTTTTTTGTCTACGGGTCTCGAAAACATTCTCAAATAAATTTAAGAAAAGGACGGTGGTACGACAAACTCCTGCAAAGTTGAGCCCTGAAACTCGTTCTGTAATGTACGTAAGTCGTATTCGAATACAACATACGCACATTTTTTTCAGGTCCACACGTGGTTAATGGCGACACTCAGTTTCAACTATT